ATTTCCATGAATGAAAACTGGAGATTCTCTAGATAAGATACCTACATATAATCAACTCCCTTATAGTTCTTGTACTTCACCTCTTGGAATCAGAAGCACTATGTCACCAATTACCTCACATAGTCCACCTACCACTAGATGGTTTCTACCAGTTTAGGAGATCTATGATAGCTTGTTGTAGTCATCTCATCCCAGTAGAGAGAGAGAGAGATATAGAGAGAGAGAGAGAGAGAGAGAGAGAGAGAGGTTATAAAAGAGTGTGGCAGTGTAGTAGTTTCTGATACAGAGAGTGTTTGTATTATAGAGAGTATTGAGTATTGTACTACTAAAGAAATAAAAAAAAATATTTCTTAGTATCCACCATCCTTCTTAACTCAACAAATGGTATCAAAGCCACTCTCGTAAATTGTAAATCAACAATTAGTATCAGAGTAGGAGGTCAGTGACCAACTCTCTCTCCTATGGTGGTCCTATCAATGCTATTGAAAGCCGAAGTTTGTGCTCAGTCTGGGGCTGTAAAGTTGATTAGTTAGGGATCAGACTAGCATGGAGATACTTAAGTAGTACTACATAATGATGACAGATCTGACAAGTACTACTGTTATACTTAAGAAACACAACAGTAACAACTATAGCTACTGGGAGAGTTGTATGAAGTTCTATTTGCAAGGACAAAATCTTTGGGAGATGATCGGGAGTGTCTAAACTTCAGCACCTCAAGAAGTTGATGAAACACTAAGAAAATGGAATATTAAAGCTAGCAAGGCTATGTATATATTGAAGGCGATGATAGAAGAAGATCTCGTAGACTATGCGAGATGCTAGAACTCCGAAGGAGGCATAGGATACAATTGCTGCTCTCTTCTCAAAGAAGAACAATACTTGACTCTAACTCCTTGAGAATAAATTAATGACATTGCAATAGAAGGATCTAACAATCAGTCAATACTATAAACAAGTAAAATCACTCTGTTTAGATATACATTGTATTTCTAAAGTGTCGGATGTAAGGATGCGAATAATAATCATTCACAATTTGAGAGCAGAGTACCATGGGCTCGTTGTTGTCACATGGCTAGCTAACTTAACCAATATTATTAGAGTGAGAGAGTTTGCTCGCTACACATGAGATCTTAGCCAAACAAACGACCGACGTTTCAATAGGAAGTGAAGATGAGGCATTATTCAGTAATATGGAACAAAACGAGTGATGTATAAAAGCTGACTAAGATATGCAGTCAATTATTTTATACACCAGAAGCACACTAGAGTGAGGAGCAAAGTGATCGTCGAGCAAGGAGACCTGATAGTAGCTGCTATAATGGTGGGAAGAAAAGCCACTTCGCCAGCAACCACTGCTACAAGAGAAGACCGACAGAGGGTGATATTGCAACATCGCATAGATGTCTAGATGATGAAGAAGAATGTGATGTCTAAGCATCGAAGGCCATCATTGAAGACGTATTAGTCGATGAGGAAGAGATTGTTGATATGACACTAACCTCGATCATGGAGGAAGTTGAGGCTACACTTGTAGCGATTTCAAATTTAGAAGAAATTAGCTATAATAAATATTACGACATCGATTCTGGCTATTCTAATCACATGAGGGAGACAAGTGAAAGCTCGTCAACATGAAGGAGTATAGAGGCAGCATAATGTTGTGATAGTGAATAATTCAAGATTGCCTATCACACACATCAGAAAGATTGTGTTTATGCCGCGTTACAACCTGAATCAGGTGTAACTATAGGATGTACACAATGTGTTGGTATGAAAAAGAACATTCAATCTGTTTCTCAATTGACATCTTCCAGAAATTATGTGGTATTTGGGCTACAAGATGTTAAAGTCTACAGTAGCTTGAAGCTCTTAGGAGGACTTGTTATGGAGGGACAAAACGTAGAATATGTCTATGTGACATTGATAGAATTGGTATATATAGACAAGGCTAGGAAGAATAAGACAGCTGATCTGTGACATGCTCGGCTTGGCCATATGAGCTATCACAAGCTCAAGATCATGATGGAGAAGTCAATGTTGAAGGGTCTTTCACACTTGGATATTTGAGGAGGGACCATATGCAGAGATTGTCAATACTGTAAGGCACATCAATTATCATACCTAGAGTCACAGTTCAGATCCAAAGAACCTTTGGAACTTGTACATTCAGATATATTCGATCGAGTGAAGCAAGAGTCAATCAGTAGGATGCGGTACATGATCAGTTTCATCGATGATTACTCCAGGTATGTCTACATTTATTTTATGAAGAAAAAGTCTGAAGCACTCTCCAAATTCAAGAAATTCTAAGAAGTCGAAGGAGAGCTAAAAATATTTGTTGCCTACGCAAATGGCGGAGAGTATACATCACATGAGTTCAATGACTTCCTAAAGCAGCACAAGATTCAGCGACAACTAACGTGCCTAAATACTCCACAGCAAAATAACATATATAGCAGAAAAGAAGAATAGTCATCTCACTAAAATTTACGGAAGAATGCTTCATGCTAAGAATGTGCCAGGATGTTTTTGGGCGGAGGGTATGAAGACTATGTCGCATGTGATCAATCTACTACCACAACCAAAATTAGAGTTCATGTCACCAATTCGGAAGTTGTGGAATATCAAACCAATAGTACACCACTTCAGAGTCTTTGATGGTGTGTTTTACGTCTTTGTGCCCGATCACCTTCTTAGCAAGTTTGACAAGAAGGTTGTGAGGTGTATTTTTGTAGGGTATGACAATAACAGAAAAGGGTGGAGATGTTGTGATCCCACAGCCAGGATGGTGCTACACATCGAGAAATGTAGTGTTTGACGAAATTTCATATTGGTGGACTCCATAAGAAGTTGTGCTCCCAGATTCTAATGATTTAGAGGATCATTTACAGAAGAAGTTAGGGGAGCCAAATCAAGAAGAAAAGTCACATCAATCAGAGAAGATAGAACCAAGTTATCCCACATCTCCAAAGGGAAAAAAAATTCATGGAAGACTAGTGTTCATAAGATAATATTAGAAGAGACACACCTAAGTCAGATAAAAGATATCAAAGAAAAACATCAGGATAACTTTAGAGATCAACTAGGCTAAGGAAATCAAATCCAAAGTAGGCTGATATTGCCGTAATAGAAGACGTGAGGACATCTTCTTTCAAAAAGGCGTTCGAGACTAGTGAATGGAGAAAAGTCATGATAGAAGAAATCTAAGCATTGAAGCATGATTTAGAGATCTACTTAGATTTGTGGATAGAGAAGTTATTGCTGAGGGGGAGTGTTAGAATTAGCAGCACTATGTCACAAACCTGACATAATCCACCTACCATCAATAGTTCCTATCAACTCCCTATAGTGTTTACCAACCGGTTTAGGAGATCTATATAAGCTATATTAGCTAGCTGTAATCATCTCATCCAGAGAGAGAGAGAGAGAGAGAGAGAGAGAGAGATAGAGAGAGAGAGAGGGAGGGAGGGGGAGAGAGAGAGAGAGAGAGAGAGAGAGAGAGTAGTAATTTAGTAGTTTCTAGGTAGAGAGAGCATTTGTATTAGAGGGATTATTGAGTGTTGTACTACTAAAAATAAAAAAATACTTCCTAGTGTCCACCACCCTTCTCAAGTACCCAACAAGTGGTAAAAGAGCAACTCTCACAAATCAGTGTTACCCACTTGTGGGTCTTAGATGATAGAATCTCTGCTTGTTTGGTATTTCCAATGTACCACAGTGAGATTGCCATGATCTTGTAATAGGACGAGAGAGACGGAGATCAAAGGCCAATGATAGCATAATGTTATGGTATTTTCTCATATTTCTTGGTGACAAGGTTACATACGTAAAGGAACTCGTCAGATTAGTAGTTTGTCTTACAATTTCGACAGAGGACTAAACCGTAGCGAGAGCCTACCATAACTAATTCACCATGAGTTGATACAAATGCTAGAGTCGTGTTAAAGTCGTCGCCTATGGGATCCTCTTGGTTATTTACCCCGCATGATAATGTACTTTGTATTAAGTCCCGGCATGGGTGAGGCGTGAGGGTAGCTTCTTGCGGTAGTAATCATCGTCGACGATGATATCGTTCCAAGCTTTTGAAACACAGGTGAAGCGGTAGAGAGATTTGGCGGGAAGTCGTGACGAGACCTCAACCAACAAATCATGTCTGTAAGTCTCGTTTGCGGTCGCAGAATGTTGGTGATCACCGAAGTATTGCGGCATCACCCGCAATTTTGGCCATGTCCATGACTGAAAATTGGAAATAGAAAAAGCCTTTCCTTGCTCTCAATAGAAATCACCCTTGATTAGCTTCAAATGCAAATAGACTCCCAAACATAAATAATTACTTTTTACTCTGCTAAATTTGCTTTAAATTTCTTTGGAAACAAGGCCCTTTGCTAGATAATCTTTCTTCTATAGCTAGATAGGAAAAAAAGTCTTTAAAATGAAGGATTAATTGCACTTTAAATACCAGTAGTTTCCCTACACGTTTCCTTTACTCGCATTGAAATGCCCTTAGTTATGTAAATGAGAGAATCCTCTCTCTCCAAAAGTTCTCATGCAACACTCACGTGCTAAGTTTATAATTTTTTTAACACTTAAATTTTGTTAGTTTACAAATAAAAACATCATAATTCTCTTGTAAATCTATCGTAATTCTGTCCTGAAATAAGATTTTAGTAGGCTTAACAATATTAAAAGTTAGAATGTCCTAAATTTAGCATATGAATGAGCAAGAGAATGTTCAGAGTAAATTCAAAGGTTTGCATAACTAATTAATAGCATTAAAGTGTAAATTTTAAAATCTTTAAGAGTTACGACGCGGTCAAAAACAATTGAAAGTATATGAGGGCTAATTAGGGGAAACTATTAGGGTATTTAAGTGAAATTAATAAAAGCAAAGATAAAGTAGCAACCTTGGAAGGGTAATGAAAAGACAGTCCACTCAAGCGGGCCCACGACAGGAATCATTCCCGGCGGGACCCAAACGCTTTCCCTTTTCCACTTCCTCCCGTCATCATCATCGGTTAACACTTTCCCTTTTCCAGTTCCTCTGTCATCATCATCAACAGGTTAACACTGAACCCAAAGCCCATTCTCAGCTCCACCTCCTCTCTCTCTCTCTCTCTCTGAAACTTTAATGGCGAAATCTTTAGCCAAAGCTCTCTCCTTTTGGGCCTACCTCACTCTGTTCGCTCACCCTCGCCGCCATTATTTCTTCTCCTTCCTCCGCCCCAGCGGCCCCCACTCCAATATCCTCAACCTCCCCGCCGACCTCCGCCGCCACTACCTCGCCCGGGAAACTCGCTCAAGATCCAATCCCCAGACCCAACTCTTCAGTCCCACCCAGCTGCTCATCATCGAAGACGGCCCTCGGACTCCGCACCTGACGCAGAGACCGTGCTCGTTGCCTCCACGGCCTCGGCCTGCAGCTCCTACTCATTCACGCAACGTAATGCCGTCTCTCTCCGCCGCAGGAATCCGCAGCATTGCCATCGATCTCCCCGGCTCTGGCTTCTCCGAAAGGATCGGAGCCAGTGGGAATGTCAATTGGCTTTTCAGGATTTGGCGGGAAATTAGAGCGAAGGGGATATTTTGGGCATTTGATCAGCTGGTTGAGACTGGGGAGATTCCGGAACCTCAGATAGGTGGTGGGTCTGTGTCGGAATTGTTTGGTCGAGTTGTAGGACAGGTGTTTGACGAAATGTCGCTGAGAAAACCCGTGCATTTGGTTTTGCATGATTCGGCATGGGGAGCTGCGATGAATTGGGTATCGGCGAATTCCGGTTCAGTGAGAAGCGTTACGTTTCTTGACTCTTCGCCTGCTGAGCTTCCGGCGTTCCCATTTAGGTTTTTAGAAATGCCAGTTGTTGGGGATTTGGTAATGCATTCGCGGATTGTTTTTGGTTGGTTGGTTAAGGTTTGTTGTTTGAGGTCGGAGAATGGGAAAGATGCTGCTGAGGTTTACAGGAGTTTGATGAGGTATAATGCTGGGAGGGAGGGGGTTATAGCAGTAGGAAATGGGTTGAATTATAGCTTTGATTTGGGGGAATGGGCGATGTCCGAGAGGATGAAGGACGTGAAGTTTCAGGTGCTGTGGTCAAATATGTGGTCAGATCGATGGATTGATGAAGGCCGGCGAATGGCTGCAGTGCTCCTGGAGGCGAGACTTTCTTGGCATTTTGGAGGGAGATGGCCTCAGGTGAGTTCTTTAACTTCCTTCTATATCAAAATTTGGTGGGTAAATTTCAGAAAAACCTGAAATTTATGTTGTTTTGCGCAAAAACCTCCTAAACTTTATAAATCAGAGATACCCCTCTTAAATTGTCTCATTTACACACCATGATAGAAGTTGACAGTTTATGTTGTGAGCCTCGTGTGTGACATGATTTAGACAACTTTGCCGCTACATATACTTGATATTTCAAGGATAATTTAGTCATTTATGGCAACTTTTAATAGCTCAGTGTAGTTTTGTATAATTTTGAAAGTTTAGGGGCTTTATGTGATTTATAATGTTTAGAGGGATTTTCTCTAAAACATCCAAAAGTTGATGACAGGTGGTTTTATGAAATCTACTCTATTTTGGTTCGCTGTAATTGCAGTTCATGGAGTAGTGTTGGGATGTATCTCATGTCTGTTTTAGTATCCCGGTGGACCTGTGGGCTAAGTTAGTGCCAAGGTGTTAGTGCTAGGGTTTAGCGCTATAAGAGTATCATGTGAGAGGGCTTGAGATGAGATTGAGGGTTTTGAATAGAATATGAGAGAGATGCTATGTAGGTATGTGAGGTTGAGAGATTGAGAGGGATGAGTGATCCCTCTTCCAGTGCTCTACCATATACATAGTTGATTCTCATATTGTTGCCCCGTGGATGTCGGTTGAACGTGGTCAACTGAACCACATAAATCTCGGTGTTCCTCTTCTTTCTTTTATGGTTTTCTATATTGTGAACTTGTGGTTTGATCTCTGGGTTGTGAGGATCGGGAATCGAGGATCATTGATTCCCCTACAACTGGTATCAAAGCCCACGGTGATGGATACAGAAGCCGGTTTCCAAGATAGAGGCCAAAGTCATGCAAAATTTAAGATCAGCGACTGTACAAAGGCCAGGAGGAAGAAGAAGAAAATGTGGAATCTTAGTGTGATACATCATGCTTGGCTCAAATCTAAATCCACGGTGACTACAAACAACCAATATTGGAGTTTTGAAGAATGCTGTGGTTGTCAGCGGTTAATCTGGCAGCAGCGAGAGGCCATGAGTGCGACATGAAAGTGAGGAGTCTTTGTTCGCCAAGGCTGCTTATGAGGTAGATCTATTCGTGTGAACAACAAAAGGTGCATCCACTATGGAAGGGTGGCCAGAGATCGGATAGAGGG